TAGGATGGACTATTGTGATCTGTGCTCCAGGTGATTGATGGTTATAATCTCACGTTGAGCTTGTTTATTTGCATGAATGTTTTATTTTATGTTTTTAGTGATTTAAGTGATTGATAGGATATCTCCCTTATAAGCTTGCACAAATGTTTAGATTATGTATACCATGCTCTAGGTGGTCGATAGGATAATCTCCCTAGCGAAGCATGCATTAGAGCACCAAGCTAAGACTAGGGCACTAGAGCTAAAGTGATTGCAAGTTGACCTAAGTCAGTACATTTTTTGTAGATCCTATACCCTAGGATCATGAGCGGGTGATCACAGGTCTAGACCTGTGTGCACCTGGATAGTAGATTAGTTCAAGGAGTTAGTCCTAGTCGTCCCAGAAAAGGGAGGCAAGCTTTAAACTGCCTAAATGCTCTTAAGAACCAAGTAGAGCTCAAAATATGTACGGTGTCACCAGTTTAATGATGTCATCAAAGTCTCCGCTACCCTTTCCCCTCTTATACTCATATATTCAAGTTTTTACTATGATACCCCTACTATCGAGTCACGCATGGGCTGATTAGGTTTATGTGATCTGACAATTAAATTGGATTATCCTACATAATAGTTCTATCTTAAGAGTGGCAATGGAATCATGTGGGTAATCTTAGAAGTTGATAAGCAAATAGGTTGCTACCCAACCCTGGGTGATTATATAATACTGAGGGAAAGTTCACCAACTAACCTCCCATGAATGATGAGTAGTCAAGTACACATCATACTAGCACACAAGGGAGAGAATTCTACGAGGTCACGCCTTAACCCAAGTCACCGAATTTACACTACACAGGCAAAGCAAGCTATCCTAAGTCAAAGAACAGAATAGCTCACCCGAAAGTGACTTGTCGCTTGACATATCCACGATGCCAGGAAAGGGTGAACCTTCTCCTATGAACCTAAAGTGGGTTCCTGAGCAGCTTAAGTAACGCTTGAAACTTCAAGGCAGCCCCAGATAGCAGTAGAGACTAACCTTGAACATTCTAGAGCTCAGAGTAAAACTCGTGCACACCAACTAGATTAAGAATGTGTTGAGACCGAACAAGTAGGTTGCTTACTGAGTATTTTTATACTCACTATTTCTCCATTCTTTTTCAGGTGTTCCCATGTTGTTAGTTGAGGTTGATGGGTGTTTGAGAGTTCTGCAGCCATAGAGTGGGTAATTCTACGGAATCGGTCTATCTTTATATTTTGAGTAATTTTTACTTCAATTTGTAATTGTATCTCAAATCCATTTCTCTATTTAAAATAAATTTGAACGGTACCATCCTCTAATGAGATTCCTTTTTTTTTTAATTGTGGTGTTGTTTGTCTCTATTTCGATTTAAATTCTACGTCATTTATCTTTTATTTTATTTTACTTTATCTTATATTTTCTTTTGGTCTTTGCCTTTTTATCACGGTTCGAGTTTCAAAACTTAAAAATTTGGGTTGTGACATTTCTCCACATAGATTAATCTTTTGGTCTTTGTCTTTTTATCACGGTTCGAGTTTCAAGAATTTGGATGTTAATTAACTTATTGTCAAGAGTGTCTAATCTACAACTTCCTTAGAAAAGTCTTTAAAAATTGCCTCTTTGCCTTAGAGATTGTAACCCATCTACCGTTGAGAAGTTGGGGTTCTTGGGGCTTAATTACTCTCCTATTAGTAAAGATCTAGTTGTTGCTTTGATAATCACCATTTATAAACTATCTTTTCTTTCCTTTCTTCTCTTGATTCTTCCATGAAATTACTATTGTGTTATTGAATCCTATGAAATCCCACTTTTGAGATTTATTGTGAAATTTCACTTTTGAGCTTTATTGTGAAATCCCACATCGGTTGGACAGAAACGAATCATTCCTTATATAAGTATGCGAGTGGTTAAGGAAGAATTCTGCTCACATTGGTTGGATAGGGAACAAATAATTTCTTATATAAGTATGTCCAATAGGTTAAGGAGGAATTTTGCTATTGACGACTTGAGATCCCACATGGGTGGGATAGAGAATGAATCTTTCCTTATATAAGTATGTCAATGTTTTTGAGTGGTTAGAGAGACTTAAATTTGTTGGACTTTGCTTGCATAGGTTCAAATCTTGTTGTGATGACTTTTTAGCTTTATTGTGAAATCCCACATCTCGAACCAATCATTCTTATACAAGGGGTATCAATATGTCTGAGTGGTCGATGAGACTTTTTAGCTTTATTGTGAAATCCCACATCTCGAACCAATCATTCTTATACAAGGGGTATCAATATGTCTGAGTGGTTGATGAGACTATTTAGCTTTATTGTGAAATCCCACATCGATCGGACAGAAAACGAATCATTCTTATACAAGGGGTGTCAATATGTCCGAGTGGTTAAGGAGGAATTCTGCTATTGGTGACTTTTTAGCTTTATTGTGAGATCCCACATTGGTTGAATAGGGAACGAATCATTCCTTATATAGGGTGTCAATATGTCTACTGGTTAAGAAGATAGACTAGAAATCTATTGGGCTATATAAGGGGTGTCAATATGTCCGAGTGGTTAAGGGGAACGAATCATTCCTTACATAAGGGGTGTCAATATGTCCGAGTCGTTAACGAGACAGATTCAAAATTTATTGGGCCATGCCTGCACGGTTCGAATCCTACTGTTGACGAATTTTTAGCTTTATTGTGAAATCACACGTTATTTGAACAAGGAACGAATCATTCTTTATATAAGGGTGTCAATATGTCCGAATGGTTAAGGAGACAAACTTGAAATTTGGCTAAAGAATCATTCTTTATATAACGGTGTCACAATATGTCCGAATGGTTAAGAAGACAAACTCGAAATTCCGCTATGTAATTTTTAGCTTCTGGCTATGCAATTTTTACATTTATTATCAAATCCCACATCCTACATAATACTTATATAAGTGAAAGTGGGATACTGTTGTTGTCACAATCAGTAGTACTCGAGAATCTAAGAAACTAAAGTTTGGAGTGTCAATATGTCAGAGTGGTTAAGGAAACAGACTAGAAATCTGTTGGCCTATGCCTGCATAGGTTTGAATCTTGCTATTGATGTATTTTTAGCTTTATTGTGAAAACACAACTCGGTTGAACAAGGAACGAATCATTCTTTATATAAGGGTGTCAATATGTCTGAATGGGTAACGAGACAAACTCAAAATTTGGGTAATTTTTAGTTTTATTATGAAATCCCACCTCCTACATAATACTTGTACAAGTGAAGGTGGGATACTATTGTTGCCACAATCTGTAGTACTTGAGAATCTGAGAAATAGAAATTTGGGGTGTTAATATGTCTGAGTGGTTAAGGAGACAGACTTGAAATCTGTTGGGCTATGCCTGCATAGTTTCAAATCGTGCTATTGACGCATTTTTATACAAGGGTGTCAATATGTCCGAATGGTTAAGGACACAAACTCGAAATTTGGCTATTCAATTTTTTAGCTTTATTATAAAAACCCACATCCAACATAATATTTATATGAGTGGAAGTGGGATACTGTTGTTGCCACAATCAGTAGTACTCGAGAATCTAAGAAACTGAAGTTTGGGGTGTCAATATTGTCGGGCTATGCCTACGTAGGTTTAAATCCTACTATTGACGTATTTTTAGCTTTATTGTGAAAACACACATCGGTTGAACAAGGAACGAATCATTCTTTATATAAGGGTGTCAATATATCGGAATGGTTAAGGAGACAAAATCGAAATTTGGCTATGCAATTTTTAGCTTTATTATGAAATCCCACATCCTGCATATATATAAGTGGAAGTGGGATACTGTTGTTGCCACAATCAGTAGTACTCGAGAATCTGAGAAATAGAAGTTTGGGGTGTCAATATGTCTGTCTGGTTAAGGAGACAGACTCGAAATCTGTTGGGCTTATGCCTGCGTAGGTTCGAATCTTGCTATTGATGTATTTCTTAGCTTTATTGCCAAAACACACATCGGTTGAACATGGGACGAATCATTCTTTATATAAGGGTGTCAATATGTCCGAATGGTTAAGGAGACAAACTCGAAATTTGGCTATGCAATTTTTAGCTTTATTATGAAATCCCACATCCTACATAATACTTATAAGTGGGATACTGTTGTTGCCAGAATCAGTAGTACCTGCCATTGACGTATTTTTATCTTTATTGTGAAAACACACATCGATTGAACAAGGAACGAATCATTCTTTATATAAGGGTGTCAATATGTCGGCATGGTTAAGCAGACAAACTCGAAATTTGGCTATGCAATTTTTAGCTTTATTAAAGTTTGGGGTGTCATTATGTCCGAGTGGTTAAGGAGACAGACCTGCTATTGACGTATTTTTATCTTTATTGTGAAAACACACATCGATTGAACAAGGAACGAATCATTCTTTATATAAGGGTGTCAATATGTCGGCATGGTTAAGCAGACAAACTCGAAATTTGGCTATGCAATTTTTAGCTTTATTAAAGTTTGGGGTGTCATTATGTCCGAGTGGTTAAGGAGACAGACCTGCTATTGACGTATTTTTATCTTTATTGTGAAAACACACATCGATTGAACAAGGAACGAATCATTCTTTATATAAGGGTGTCAATATGTCGGCATGGTTAAGCAGACAAACTCGAAATTTGGCTATGCAATTTTTAGCTTTATTATGAAATCTCACATCCTACATAATACTTGTATAAGTGGAAGTGTTAATATGTCCGAGTGGTTAAGGAGACAAACTCGAAATTTGTTGGTCTATGCCCGCCTAGGTTTGAATCTTGCTATTGACCTATTTTTAGCTTTATTTTGAAAACACACATCGATTGAGGAACGAATCATTCTTTATATAAGGGTGTCAATACTTCGGAATGGTTAAGGAGACAAACTCAAAATTTGGCTATGCAATTTATTAGCTTTATTATGAAATCCCACATCCTACATAATACTAATGTTGCCACAATCAGTAGTACTTGAGAATCGGAAAAATTGAAGTTTGGGGTGTCAATATGTCCGAGTGGTTAAGGAGACAGACTCAAAATTTGTTATGCTACGACTGCATAGGTTCGAATCCTACTATTGACGCATTTTTAGCTTTATTGTGAAAACAAACATCGATTGAACATGGAATAAATTAGCTTTATTGTGAAAACAAACATCGATTGAACATGGAATAAATCATTCTTTATAAGCGTGTTAATATGTCAGATTTGGGGTGTCAATATGTTCGAGTGGTTAAGGAGACTGACTTGAAATCTGTTGGGCTATGCCTGCGTAGGTTCAAATCTCGCAATTGTTGTATCTGAGACAAACTCGAAATTTGGTTATGCAATTTTTAGGTTTATTATGAAATCCCACATCCTATATAATACTTATATAAGTGGAAGTGGGATACTGTTGTTGCCACAATTTGTAGTACCTGAGAATCGGAGAAACTGAAGTTTGGGGTGTCAATATGTTCGAGTGGTTTAGGAAACAAAATCGAAATTTGGCTGCAATTTTTAGCTTTATTATGAAATCCCACATCCTACATAATACTTATATAAGTGGAAGTGGGATACTGTTATTGCCACAATCTGTAGTACCTGAGAATCAGAGAAACTGAAGTTTGGGGTGTCAATATGTTCGAGTGGTTTAGGAAACAAAATCTAAATTTAGCTGCAATTTTTAGCTTTATTATGAAATCCCACATCCTACATAATACTTATATAAGTGGAAGGGGGATACTGTTGTTGCCACAATCAATAGTACTCGAGAATGTCATAAATTGAAGTTTGGGATGTCAATATGTCCGAGTGGTTAAGGAGACAGACTCGAAATCTGTTGAGCTATGCCTGTGTGCGTAGGTTCGAATCCTGCTATTGACGTATTTTTATCAGACGAATTATCTTTATGTCGGCATGGCATGGTTAAAGAGACAGAACTCGAAATTTGGCTATGCAATTTTTAGTTTTAATATGAAATCCCACATCGTACATAATATTATCCTACATAATACTTATATAAGTGGTACTTATATAAGTGAAAGTGAGATACTGTTGTTGTCACAATCAGTAGTACTCGAGAATCTAAGAAACTAAAGTTTGGGATGTTAATATGTTTGAGTGGTTCAAGAGACAGACTCGAAATCTTTTAGGCTATGCCTGTCTAGGTTTGAATCCTGCTATTGACCTATTTTTAGCTTTATTATGAAATCTCACATCCCTTACGGTTGAACATGGAACGAATCATTCTTTATATAAGGGTGTCAATATGTCGGAATGGTTTAGGAAACAAAATCGAAATTTAGCTGCAATTTTTAACTTTATTATGAAATCTCACATCCTACATAATACTTATATAAGTGGGATATTGTTGTTGCCACGATCAGTAGTACTCGAGAATCTGAGAAATTAAAGTTTGGGGTGTCAATATGTCCTAGTGGTTAAGGAGACAAACTCGAAATCTGTTGGGCTATCCATACGTAGGTTTGAATCTTGCTATTGACGTATTTTTAGCTTTATCGTGAAAACACACATTGGTTGAACAAGGAACGAATCATTCTTTATAGAAGGTAACGGTGTCAATATAATATGTCCGAATTGTTAAGAAGACGAACTCGAAATTTGGCTATGCAATTTTAGTTTTATTATGAAATCCAATTTTTAGTTTTATTATGAAATCCCACTTCCTACATAATACTTATATAAGTGGAAGTGGGGTACTATTTTTGCCACAATCAGTAGTACTCGAGAATCTTGTTTGATGAAGAAATTTGAGAAACTGAAGCTTGATGTAGAAATCTGAGAAACTGAAGTTTGATTCAGAAATCTGAGAAACTAATGTTTAATGAAATCCGATATGAAACTGAAGTTTGATTCAGAAACCTGTGAAACTGATGTTTAATGAAATACTAGAAGAAACTGAAGTTTGATAAAATCCGAGAAGTAGTTTCAGCGAAAGTAAACGCAAACGAGAAATGAAAGTGGGATACTATTGTTGCCACAATCAGTAGTACCCAAGAATCTGAGAAACTGAAGTTTGATGAAGAAATTCGAGAAGTAGTTCTCAGCGAAAATATACGCAAACGAGAAATTGAAGATCTGAGAAACTGATGTTTAATGAAATCCAAGAAGAAACTGAAGTTTGACGAATTTTTAGCTTTATTGTGAAATCACACATCGACTGAACAGGGAAAGAATCATTCTTTACATAAGGGGTATCAATATGTCCGAGTGGTTAATGAGACAGACTTGAAATGCTATGCCTGCGTGGTTCAAATCCTACCATTGACAAATTTTTAGCTTTATTGTGAAATCACACATCGGTTGAACAAGTAACGAATCATTTCTTATATTAGGGGTGTTAATATGTCTGAGTGGTTAAGGAGACCAACTTGAAATCGGTTGGGCTATGCCTGCACAGGTCCTGTCAATATGTTCGAGTTGTTAAGGGTAAGGGGTGTCAATATGTTCGAGTTGTTAAGGGTAAGGGGTGTCAATATGTCCGAGTGGTTAAGGGTAAGGGGTGTCAATATGTCCGAGTGGTTAAGGGTAAGGGGTGTCAATATGTCCGAGTGGTTAAGGGTAAGGGGTGTCAATATGTCCGAGTGGTTAAGGGTAAGGGGTGTCAATATGTCCGAGTGGTTAAGGGTAAGGGGTGTCAATATGTTCGAGTGGTTAAGGGTAAGGGGTGTCAATCTGTCCTGCACAGGTCCTGTCAATATGTCCGAGTGGTTAAGGGTAAGGGGTATCAATATGTCCAAGTGGTTAAGGGTAAGGGGTGTCAATCTGTCCTGCACAGGTCCTGTCAATATGTCCGAGTGGTTAAGGGTAAGGGGTATCAATATGTCCGAGTGGTTAAGGGTAAGGGGTGTCAATCTGTCCTGCACAGGTCCTGTCAATATGTCCGAGTGGTTAAGGGTAAGGGGTATCAATATATTCGAGTGGTTAAGGGTAAGGGGTTGAACAAGTAACAAATCATTTTTTTATATAAGATTGTCAATATGTCCGAATGGTTAAGGGGAACGAATTATTTCTTATATTACGGGTGTTAATATGTCAGAGTGGTTAAGGGGTGTTAAGATGTGTTTAGATGTGTTTGCCACCTTTAAGAAGTGGAAAGAAGATATGTATTTATATTTATGTAAGGGGTGTCAATATGTTCGATTGGTTAAGGGGGAACGAATCATTCCTTATATAAGGGGTGTCAATATGTCCGAGTGGTTAAGAGGTGTTTAGATGTGTTTAGATGTGTTTGCCACCTTTAAGAAGTAGAAAGAAGATGTGTATTTCTATTTATTTCCCGAAACAAAAGTCAGATATATTTTCCACCTTTAAGAAGTGGAAAGCTGAAGTTGAAAATCAGATTGGCTTGAAGATCAAATGCCTGAAGAATGACAATGAAGAAGAATACGAAAAGTCAAAATCCAAAGCATTTTGTGTAGCTGAGGGAATTAGATTAGCGAGGATAGTTCCCAGGTACAACAAGACAATATGGTGTTGGTGAAAGGATGAACAGAAAATTGAATGGACAGGCAAGGAATATGAGGATTCGTTCTAGATTGTCAAAGACATTCTGAGTTGATGTTGTAAATACAATAGCCTACTTGATAAATAGAGGGTCGTCAGTATCCTTACGGTTCAAGTTGCCAAAAGTGGTATGGATAAGAAAAGAGAGTTACAAGCTTGATGCTAAGGCTATGAAGTGCTACTTCATAGGCTATGATTCTAATATGTTTAGGTATAAGTTTTTAGACGTCAAGAACAAAAAAAATTTGAGCACTATAACGTGGTTTTTGACGAAAATATCATGTACAAGGACAAAGACAAGAAAGGTTCTGGGACAACAAAGCAAGTGGGAGTTGAAGTTGAGCTACAGAACAATTCACATAGTGATGTTGTAATATATATAACTATATGGTAGATAGTTATATATATAGCATATGGTTATATTTGATAAAATCATATATAGTAAACTGAACTATATATATATATATCCCTTAAGCAGTGCTTTTAAAATGTACTTTTTGTATTATTTCTTACCGTACATAACTGAAGTCATCAATAAACTTTTAACTAGTATTTCTCATGCATTTTCTCTCTTCTATCATTTGTGTTCATCTAGAATTCGCGTGTGCATTATTGTGCAATCCTAACAATTACAATAGAAAAATTTAGTTGCTTGTGATGGACTTATCACTTTAAGTGTTTGTGATAAAATTGTTCGTAATTTTCATTTTTTTTTCTTTTAAGTCAACTCAAATTTTTCTTATCTTCCAATTTTTTTATTTCACTTTTCATTTTTCTTATTGGGCTACAAGGTTTTCCAATATTCTCTTACTATTAAGATATGATTTGGAGGATATATTTTAATAATTAGTTGTAGAGTATATCTTACATATCTCTAATCAGTTAATATTTTTTTTTCTTTATTTATGGAAGTTGGAGGATATATTTTAATAATTAGTTGTGGAGTATATCTTACCTATCTCTAATCAGTTAATATTTTTTTTCTTTATTTATTAGTAGTATATTTTATTTTAGGATTTGATTAGCGGTATATTTTATATTATTTACCAACAAGTTATATATTTTCCCTCATTTTTAATATATTAGTTGATAGTTTGGATCCTATTTAAACCTTGTAAACATTAATGAAGATCATGCTTTCGATCCCACTTCTATTTCTCATTCTTAACACTTACGTTTAAAACACCAATAAAAAGGAATGAACATTTTACTCATGTAGTGGAAGCATTGGAATCAACTTTGATTTTATTTAGAATTAAACAAAATTAAAGGTTAACAAACATACCTTGAAGAAATATAGAGAAAGTTTTGGCCCGGCTTTAATCTACTTGCTCCACTCCTCTAATGGATGAATCTCCTCCATAAAGTCTTCCTCCATATAACTAAAACACAAGGTAAGGCTTGTGGGAGCTTATTGAAATAAAATTTCGAAAGTTTCGAAGCCTAAAAAAGGTTGTGACATTTCAACACATCGATTAATCTTTCCTCCAACCGGAGCGGCTCGTAGTCAATCACGTGTGTATTGTTTGTTATATACTTGTGCAACATGGAACACATCATGAACTCTTGAGGGGA